TTATTCTGACCTACTCCTCAGGACCTCAGGACCAAAAGGCACACAAAGTTTTTATAGGTCCTCATGTCTGTCTACATTAATTTGTGCAAGTGTGTGTGTGTGTGTGTGTGTGTGTTTAAATACTGTACATTTCTGCTCAAAAAGACTTCTGAGGAATTCTGATTGATTAGATCTAGTTAAGGATTTTAGTGCATTACATTATATTATAACTTTATATCTATCAAATAATCTTGAAAATAAATGTATCATGGTTTCCACAAAAAGCAGCATAAACCTTTAAAAAAACATTGACAATATTAAGAAGCATTATTAACTGAGCATTAATAATAATTGATAATAACTGAGCAGCCGATTGGCATATTACAATGTTTTCTGGAGAATCATGTGACAGTGAAGACTTGAGTAAGGGCTGCTGAAAATTCAACTTTGCCTTCACAGGAATTAAATAAATTTTAAGATATATTAAAATAGAACAAGTTATTTTAAATTGTAATATTTTTCACAATATTGATGTATTTTTGATCAAATAATTGATCAAATTGATGAGCATAAGAGACTTCTTTCAAAACATTAAATTAAATATTACTGACCCCAAACTTTTAAACGGAAGTGTATATGAAAAAAAAACATGAATCTGCCATCTTCATATGCCAATACCAACATTTCATATTCTTTGAACAGGGTTCATCTTTGCATAGATAATTTGAATTACAATGGCAGATTTCTCATATATAAAGGAGCAAATATACACTGGTATATTTAGTAAAAATATCATAGTAAATCGAGGAAAGCCCCTGGCACTGCTAAAAGGTTAATGCCATGCCCTTGAACGGCTGTCAGGTCTATTCTTCCCTGAGTAATTTCATCATGTTGGCTCTGATCTTCTTTCGTCTTCCTGTCATTCAGCCTGGGCCTCTGGAATGTTTTCTCCAGTGAGGAAACTTTAGACGTTAGTGAACAGAATGACTTGGAATAGCAAGCATGTAAGTCATTAGTTACTTGCTAAAGGGTCTATATTTATGTTTGCTTGTTGTGCCCTTGTTTGAGTGTGTCTTACTTGCTAAAGTCATTTTTATTTATAAAACGGATAGCTCTGGCTTTGTAATTTGATTGGATGAATTTCAAAGGCTACATAGATTTATCCATTGTTTCAACCATTGGTTTGGTCTTAAAGCCTTTACAGTATTTTTCGGGCACATGATGATGTTGTCTGATAATCTAATACCTCCATAGAGTGCTGCAGTGGTGACATATCTTTATAGGTCAGTCCTGAAGTTAGCAAAAAAAACAAAAAAAAAACAGTAGGATTGTTCCATTGGCTTTTGGATTATTGCAAAAATAAGTTCTGTGACAATGTTTATGATTCTTACACATTTTGTTCATCATGATAATGTTCACATATGAACACAACATTTATGAATTTTTAAACTTTTAAGCTTAAGCTATATACGAACTACACCACGGTCGCATGATTTGAACATCACCACCATTAAGCTTCTGACAAATCTTTGTCTTAAATTTTTTTTTGAAGAATTTTCCCTAAGAGATTGAGTTAGAATAGTTTGCAAAAGTGTGATTGTAAGCACAATAAGGCTGTAAAATCGAAGTAGTAGAAGTTTACCTGTTCGTCCGTGACAACCTCTGTAGTCCCATTTAACCACTTTTTAACAAGTTGTCTTTTTCAAGACAAGTAAACGCTTTAAAAAAACGCAAGGTGGTATTACTGAGGTATTTTATACAATAAAACATTAAAATGTCTTTAGCTTGTGTTAATTGTCACGAATCCGGTCCATGAACTTCCATCTGCTAGCCATCAGAGGTCACCCTTTCCGATTTCATTGACTCTCGCACTACACACTGTTGCACATCACCCTGTAGATCAGATGTCTACATATCCCATCATTCATTGCACTGATTGCACTCAGCACAGATTGCACACAGCTGTTTACACTGATTGCACCCAGCTGTTTCATATCACTCCCTCACTATTTAACACTCACTCTGATCCCTTCCCTCTGCTGAGTATTGTTTAGCGCATATCTCCAGATAGCTACTCTACAGAGCCCTCAGGCCTTAGCCTTAGCCTTAGCCTTAGCCTTAGCCTTAGCCTTAGCCTTAGCCTTAGCCTTAGCCTTAGCCTTCTCCTTTAGTCTTGCCCCTTTTTGATTCTGTCTGCCGATCATCGACCTGCGCTAGCCCTAGGATTATTCTTGTGTCTTGCCCGCCATATTCCTCGTTGCCACTGTTTGACCCTGCCTGTCTTATGACCATGTCTCTGTCTTCTCCAAATAAAGCTTTGCATATGGATCCGCATGTCTCACGTCTCGTCAGCCCCATTACATTAATCACAGACCTTATTTCATGTATTTATCAATAAACCCACTCAAAAAAAAACAGACTTCAGCACTCTATTAGCCTCTATCAGAGCGTTATCTCCAATGACAGATGTCTATTTTAGTTCCTCCCCTTCCCCCCAACTCACTCACTCATGACTGTTTGACTTTAATTTATCTCGCTTCTCATGGAAGTTAATAGGCCAGAATCATAATGAGATATTATCTAATCTAATGCAGCTTCTACCTTTTCAAAGCCAGCCTCTGTTGGAATCAAGGAATGTCATGGGTTCAATACAAGTTCATTCAGAATCAAGTTAAAGTCTGTCGAAAGCTGTCAGGTACTACGGAATATCATTTTAAATTATTGTGCTATTAGTTATGTCTGTAATTCTATAATAATGTCCATATTCACTGTTCATTTTTATTTGGAGTTGTGAACCTGAGAAACACATCTATGCAGGTTTCTTTTGGGAAAAAATTAGAGGAAAAGGATGGAGGGTGGAGAAGAGAGAAATGTAGGAGGTTCTCACACTTGTTTACCACTCCTTCGCTTCCTGCTTTTCTTTCTGTGGTACAGCTCAGACTGTGAGAGGGAAATGAGCTGTACTCGAGTCAAGCAAAACACTAACACACATGCAAACACTGCAGTGCTGTAAAATAGTCTGCCCTCTGGTCACAAAGAATCAGCTCATAAGAGTTATTCAGTTAACAAAGGCCTCATTTAAAAAAAGAATCTTTGTGGAATTATTCGGCAGTAAGATCAAATAAACTTGTAAAACATAATATTGTTGTACTTGGGTTAAGGAGTAAGTTGAACCAAAAATGAAAAGTCTGTTATCAGTTATTGACCCTCATTTCATTGTCTCTTTGAGCCCGGTCTCATGAAAATGCGTATCAATATCACAATTTTTTTTGTGTGTGTTTTGCATGCTATTTATACGCAGAAACTGACTTTGGCTTGCATACGAGATGCACGTGTTTGGTGTGCAAATAAAAAAATAAAATATTTTTTGCACTATGTTGGCGTTCATATGATACATATTTTGGTGTACATATAATACGCACCTACCCCACACCCCTAAACCTAACCATTGTGATAATTTCAGTCAAATGTAACTTTACGTTTGTAAAGCACTGTTCAGCCTGGCTTGCTGTGTGAACCTTTGCAACTGTGAAGACTGTTATTGAAGGATGAAACCCACTAGTAGACATTGTTATTATTTTTAGTTGAATATTTTATTTCATATGTGGAAAGCCAATCATTTCAAAAGCTGTTTTTGAAGTCTGAACGGTATAGTAGCAAAAACAGTATAATTTTAGAGGTCAAAAAGGAGGTGGAAAATGGACAAAACATTTTGGTGGTAGAAAAAAATGAAGAGATATGACCTCTTTAACTGTAGTTTGAGGTAGCTGTGTTAGACTTTAGTGCTCAAAAATTTGAGTGTAAATGTGTTTATTGCATATAATGATTACAGCAGTATTTTACACTAGTAGTTGCCTCTGGTTCTAGCAAAACTCTTTTGGAGGTTGATCCTGTGACTTCATCTGATGGGCTCCTTTTTTTTAAATAAAAAAGTTAATGTGCTTCTGTATTTGTGTTTCCACCAACTTTTACAACACGCTTTGCTTCTTTAACCTTTTCCATCTGCCATTTCCTCACTTCTGATGATGACCCCTAAAGTTATTTTTGCACAAGGGTTGGCGCAAACTCTAAACTGTGTAACAGAAAGGGAAATTCTTTTCTTTTCCTTGTTTTTTGAGCTGAAACCATCAGACGATATACTCACTTTAAATTTTTGTCACTATTCTTACACCTACTAATAATCCCTTTTCTTTTGTTACATACAGCTTGTGCATATCCTATATTGTTTTTGTTCGTTGTCTTATTCCTTATTTCTTTGGCCCATAAGCTGTGCATCATGGTTCTTTGAATCTAACAATACCAGGTTATGCCAGGTCTGCCATATTGCATAGTTGCAGCAGTGTTGTTCCTAAACTCATTGAATTGAGCTTAAATATAGTCAATGTTTGGCTCAGTAATTGCTGCATGCAGCTGTATTTTATGTCTGTTATTATTATGATAATACTATTGCTGTCACTTACATGAATTGAAAACTTCTCAATTCAGATTATATTCACTAAACTACATTACCATACAAAATACAGCTTCTATTCATACAAATAGATGCATAAATAAACAAACAAGCCCATAAATAAATATATAAATAGTTGCAGATGAATTACCATCCTTAGTGCAGAATAATTTATAATGGAATTCTAATCTGCGCTGCATTTCACATTCTACTGGCATTCACTCAGACGTCCTGCTGTTAGAAAGTTCTCATTTGTTGTTAGTCTGTCTCTCAGTTCTCAGGTTCATTTATATGCAGATGTATGTGAGCTTTGGGTATTTGTCATTAATATATGCTGAGGAGGGAGACCTGGGTATTTCCGTACTGTCTGTCTGAATTAGCCGTGATGCAGATTTGTCATCTCACCAACAGGGATGGAAAAGTGGGCAAATCAAAAGCTGTAAATGTGTCTTTTTCTGTATTATCGATCCTGAGTCCTGGGTTTAGGCATCTGAGATCACAGGGCTTTTAGGAGTATGTTGAATTTTTTATGTGCATGATATATCTCTGATCCCTTCCCACCTCTTGACAGGATGACAACTGGGGCGAAACCACCACAGCGGTCACTGGAACATCAGACCACAGCTTGTCTCAAGAGGATTTGGCTGGCTTCGGGAAGGAGACAGAAGGTCCAGTAGAGAAATTGAACTGTGTACGCTTCCTTCCTTTGGCCCTCATCCTCCTCCTAGGCCTGCTGGTTCTGATCACCCCCCTGTCCTTCCTGGTGCTGCCCCAGCTGATGTGGCCGGAGCGCCTGCAGACTTGTGGTACTGCCTGTGAGGGCCTGTTTCTCTCGCTGGCGTTCAAGCTCCTCATTCTGCTGCTGGCTGGTTGGGCACTGTTTGTGCGACCGGCACAAGCCTCCCTGCCCCGGATAGCAGTGTTCCGCGCCCTGCTGGGGTTGCTCACGCTCCTTCTGCTGCTCTCCTATTGGCTGTTCTTTGGAGTGCGCATCTTGGACTCGCAGGTATGGGCAAATATGTGTAGTGACCATGAAGAGTCAAGAGAAACATGTTGAGATTTGTGGAAATGTGATTGTGTGAATTCAGTTTTTATAAAATGGATAGTTTCAGCTGTTGATGAGCCGTGTTCAAAGCCATATTGAAATAAATACAGACATGCACACCTTTGAAAGTGGATCATTATTTTTGTGATGCTACTGGCACTGAAATTACACACTTCACTTATAGTATAACCTCCAATTAGACTAAGGACTTTATTTAACTTAAGTTATTGTTTTCTATTTTAATATATTTTAAAATGTAATTTATTCCTGCATGTGATGGTGTCACACGGTCCTTCAGAAATCATTCTGATGTGCTGATTTGGTGCTCAAGAAACATTTCTTCTAGGGATGCACCGATATGAAAATTTTGGCCGATACCGATATGGTGGCCGATATATCGTGCATCCCTAATTTCTTCTTATTATCAATGTTGAAAATCATTATACATTTTTTTCCAGGATTCTTTGATGAAGAGAAAGTTAAAATTAACAGCTTTTATTTCAAATAGATATCTTTTGTAACATGTGTCTTTAATGCCACTTTTGATCAATTTAAAAGGTCCTTGCTGAAAAGTAATAATTTAAAACATTATTAAATTATTTTATAACACCGACAAGAAAAATAAAACAGGATGTATTTTCTTTGAAGAACATCACTGAATTTAGTACAGGTCATTTTGATTCCCTTGGCTTACTGCTTTACTACATGTGCTTGACAGGATGAGAACTACCAAGGCATAGTGCAGTTTGCAGTATCATTGGTGGATGCTCTGCTGTTCATCCATTACCTGGCAGTGGTTCTGCTGGAGATCCGACATCTGCAGCCCTGCTTTTCTCTCTGTGTCGTGCGCTCCACCGATGGAGAGACTCACCACTATAACCTGGGACAGCTCAGGTGCCCGCTGAAACAATGACCAAACTTTGATTAAAATGACTATAATATGCTGTTTAACGGTCTGTTGCACGCTCTTTAGTAAAAAGTAAAAAGAAAGAGGAAGTCAGTAGTCACACTTCAAATTAAAGGTTCCAACTAATGGTCTAATCATTTTAATGGTCTAGTTCTGTAGAAAACCATTTATTTATTGATGTGTTCAAGAATCTAGAAACCAGTAAGGAACCAGCCTGAGGAACCTTTTAGCGATACACTATAGTGAAAATGTTTTTTGATTAGAAGTAGGTTCTTCATTGAAACACAAGAATAATTGAAGATCCTTTATTTTAATACTGTTTTATACATCAAATCTGCAAACCAGCTATATATATTAACACAGAAATATTTTTCAGAACATTAAAGGTCTCTGTAATTGCACTGATTATATGGCTGAGCTGCTTTCTTGCTGAGATATTATATGTACTCGTCTGTGTGCACAAAACTGTGTGTTGTGTGTGTGTGCACTGTTTAATGCATTAATAATGAGGTTGGGCCAAGGGAAAAAGGTCCATTAATCACTCCATTACAGACACTCCCTACTTTGCCCTGCGTTACTTCCCCTCTCCCTTCCTCTCTCCTGCCCATCACTCTCCTTTGTTCTTGCTCTCATTGTTTCATTGGCTGAAGATTTTTGATCCAGTGTTGCTGCAGAATCAAGTGACAGTGTGCACACACACACAAAGCAGAATGAAATCTATTATTATCTGACATCCAATGACTCTGTTTAATGAAATACATGATGGGATTGTGTGTTCCTGTGTTTTAATAGACACATTACCAGTGAATATTACAAGGGTTTTTTTTATAATGTTGATCGGTCTGTCTCTCTCTCTCTCTGTAGCATTCAGCGGGCAGCCCTGGTAATTCTTGAACACTATTATAAGGATTTCTCAGTTCACAACCCTGCCCTACTGACGGCTGCAAAGTCCAGGGCAGCTAAACATCTGGCTGGGCTAAAAGTCTATAATGTAGATGGTGAGTATAATCTGTGTAAAATCACTGTCTGTTTTCTGACCTGACTCTTATTGTTCTCTTGACAAAGACATCCTGAAGTCATTTTGGAATCCCTAAATAGGAAAGGCATCCAAATTGAGATGTCCTTAATATTGTATATCAAATGTTTCTCCTAGACAGAAATGAGAGCCTACGTCTCCTGCTTCACAGATTATTGTCCTGAGAAAAAGTAATGCAACATGTCTCTTCTAGAGTTTTAGAAAAGATCAGTGTCACAAACTGCCAATCAAATGTCAAGATATTTCAACATGAATCTTTCTCAGCATGTTCTTCCAACATCAGATCATCTGAGAAATGCTATATATGTTAAATGTAAACCCTTATAATTGGTAAACCTCAGTACAACTTGACATGAGGTTTTAATGCATTTCATTTAAAATGTCATTTTAAAGCATGCATTGAATCACAATACATTCATTGTTGGGTTTACTCACTGCTGTTAACGGAATATCAAAATTCATGCAAAAACGAAAATTTGCTAGAAATCTACTCACTCTTAAGGCATCTAAGATATACATGAATTTGTTTCTTTATCAGAACAGATTTTGACCAAATTTAGCATTACATCACTTGCTTACCAATGGATCCTCTGCAGTGAATGGGTGCCGTCAGAATGCCCAAACAGCTGATAAAAACATCACAATATTCTACAAGTAATCCACTTGACTTCAGTCCATTAGTTAACATCTTGTGAAGTGAAAAGCTTTGTTTGTGTTAAAAAAAAAAAAAAAAAAAAAATATATATATATATATATATATCAAGGCGCTTTAACTTTAAACAGTTGATTCTGGCCAAAATCGTGTTTAATTCATAATGATGCTTCCTCCAGTAAAACCTCCATATATTGTTGTCCTCTCACAAAATCAATAGACATATTTGTTTAGAACTGTTTTAGAGTGTTTTCACTTGTAAACGGTGCTTCATCTGTGCATATTTCTCTCCTGATTTAGACGAGGTGACTTTTTCACTAGAGAAAGCAGTATGGATAGAGGAGTTGTATTTTAGCCAGTTGGAATAGTTTGAAGTTAAAAACATCTTAATGACAGATTTGATTATTACAAACATGCAGCTTTTTGCTTCAAAAGATGTTGATTGATCGACTGGAGTCATGGATTGTTGTGATATTTTATCAGCTGTGTAGACACGCTCATTCTGACGGCACCCATTAACTGTAATGGATCCACTGGTGAGCAAGTGATGAAATGCTACATTTCTCCAAATCTGTTTTGATAAAGAAAGAAACTTATACATATTAATATACAAAGGTTAAAGGAATAGTTCCCGCAAAAACAAAAATTTGTTTAAAATGTACTCAGCCTCAGGCCACCCAAGATGTAGATAACAATTTACATACAGCATAGAGCATTATATCTGGTTTTTATTTATATATTTATAAGTAAATTATTTGTTTTGTATTTGACCAACCCCACGCTTTTTTCCACTATATATAACCAATTGTTTAATTTGTTTCTAATTGTATCCCTCATGAGGAATTTTAATAGAAACATTTGAGACAAGTTGAGAAAGTTGATACTTGGGATGAGGATAAAATTCTACAGTTGGTTAAATCAACTTAAAACATCGTCTCCTAAGCTGTAAAGTAATATTGTCCTGAATTTATTAAATGTGTGTAGACGTACTAAAACAAACACTTGTGCACACTTTTAATGCAGCAACCGTGTCAATCAGTTACCACCATCATCTAATGAATCTTCTGTAACGTTTCTTTCTGCAGAGTTTAAAGCGAAACTGAAAAGCTATCTTTTCGATTGTAAGTTCATACGGTATAATACATTCAGAAATCCTTTCACAGAGACACTGAATTGTCAAGTGCTCCACATGTCTTGGTTATTTGCTTGCATGCAGTCATTGTACACAGTGCACGAGGTCACAGACTCATCCAAAAAATTGATTTGCATCAAGAAATCCTTCTACATGTCTTGACTTCTATGAAGAAGGTACTCATCTTTGCACTCACTATGCTATAAAATCTGTCAAAAAAAGTCAATAATTCTTCCTCACCCCAGATATCAAAAACACCCAGTCTCTCTCCCTCTCTTCCTCTCTCTTTGTTTGACATTTATGATGTGTTGTCACCACAAGAAATGCACATACACCATGATGCAGAGATGCATACGTGGGATCAAGTTAACCCCTTAAGCACTCAAAACTTCCTTCATGCCTGTGGCTATTGAACCAGGCCAGGAATGTGTGTGTTTGAGTGTGAGTGTGCACGTATATGAAAATCAGCAGAGTGTAGCTCTTTGTGCTTTGCACGGATTGTCAGAGTATTAATAATGCATCACTAGGAAGAAAATCCCCCCTCCCAAAAAAACATTCCAGGTTTCAAAGCGCTCTGAAGTAGTCTATGCTCAACTACATGTTTTTTGTCTGTGTGTTAAATTAGTTTAGTATCTTGTTTCTCTTAATTATTTTCCTTATTTTTATGTGTATATGTGTACATTTTTTTGTATTTGTAATGTTACACATAACAAGTGAGGAAAGGGTGGTTTCAAGATTCGCTGGTCCATTTTTAGTATACTGTATGTGATTTCAGGAGGTGATTCAGTGAGCTATAGAAGAGATCACAAAGCTGCCCTGCTACCAAGGAAAGTCATGCTGCCCTTGGCATGCATTATTAATTATAACTGTGACCTGATTATGGATAAATATGCATAAATAATTCTGTTCACCACATTACTATGCACACAGAGCTAATATGCATTACGTGTGATCATCATAGCCCAATTCCATATGAAGATGTGCTTGGCTGCCAGTGATCTTTTTTGCAGTAGATATAACATACTGTTCAAAAGTTTGGGGTTTGGTACGATTTTTTAAATGATTTTTAAAAGAAGTCTCTAACGCTCACCAAGGCTGCATTCATTTGATCAAAAATACGGTAATGTGAAATATTATTACAATTTATAATAACTGCTTTTCATTTGAATATATTTTAAAATGTCAGTTATTCATGTGATGGCAAAGCTGATTTTTCAGCAGCTATTACTCCAGCCATCAGTGTCACATGATCCTTCAGAAATCATTCTAATATACTGATTTGGTGCTTAAGAAGCATTTCCTTACTATTACAAATGTTGAAAACAGTTGCTGCTTAATACTTTTGTGGAAACCATGATAATTGTTGGGGGGATTCTTTAATGCATAGAAAGATAAGAAGAACAGCATTTATTCACAATATTAATCTTCTGTAATGTGAATGTCTTCACTGTCACCTTTGATCTATTAAATACATCCTTGCTGAATAAAAGTATTATTTTCTTTCAAAGAAAAAAACATCTTACAGAACCCAAACTCATGTACGGTAGTGTATATGACCTGTATGAGAGGTAATAAATGGACAATAAAAAGTGAATGTAAAAAAAAAAGTGAATTATATTACTTATTAATCGTCAAAATAATGACTGCTGTTGAATTACACATTTACATGATAATCTGCATAGGTATCTGTCTTTTTTTGTAATATAGAACAATTTGCATCTGTTCTGTCCCATAATGCTAATCTTTCTCTTTCCAGGTGCTGGTAGCGATACTGCAACCTCTCAATCTCGGGCTAAAATAGCAGCTGCCGCCCGACAGAGAGACACCAGCCACAATGAGCTGTACTACGAGGAAGCAGAGCATGATAGAAGAGTCCGAAAGCGCAGAGCACGGTAAGAGAAACTATAGAGGGACAGAGTTTGTGAAACAAGAAGTATGTGATATACAGAGCATGCAATTAATGAAACTATGAAAGAATAGAGTTGTGGTTTCAATGAAAACTGCTGCAGCTTAATATGCAACTTTTCTCCTTCTAGGCTGGTGGTGGCAGTAGAGGAGGCGTTCACACACGTTAGACGGCTGCAGGAGGAGGATAAAAAGAAGCTGCCAGGAGATGAGATGGATCCACGTGAGGCAGCGCAGGCCATCTTCCCCTCCATGGCTCAAGCACTGCAGAAATACCTGCGCACCACCCGTCAGCAGCACTGCCACAGCATGGACAGTATTCAGGCCCATCTGGCATTCTGCATTACAAACAACATGACTCCAAAGGTGAGACACTGTGTGGCATGAATCTAAACATCTCTTAATTGACACTATCAAAAATGTCCTCAAATATATATGATTCAAGTTCCCATAACAGGAGTGACACTAAAATTATTAGGTTTAAAGTTAAATATTCGAATTGTATATACAATTTACATCCATTTGGATTACAGTAGAGTTTTAATATAAACTAATAAACGACATACGATGCATATTTGTCAGTCATACATAAATGAAACGGGTAAAAACTGATTTCTGTACTAGTACTAATAAACTGAATTTGTTTTAAATACATAATAACCAGGTTTATATATTTAGCATCAATAAATCCTATTGGTTTCAATCCCATACTCATAACTAATCAAATATTGCTAGCAATAGTTTAACCATGTGAATAATGATTTACACTGATTCTAAGCCATTTGAATAATGCGTTTAATATCATTATTTAAATCAAATCAAATCGATGAAAATAGTTAATATGCAATGATTTTGCAGAAATCTTACCTGTTTCTTACCCATTTCATGTATTTATGACTGACGGATATGAGGAATAACATTTGAAATTAAATTTAATTATATTTTATGAGAGCAGCTGTATGCATATAACTAAGCTGCTGACTGTTTATTTTCAGCATGACACCCATTTTAACTTTAAAATTCACTACTACACTGTAAAAAATAAGTGTCATTTTAACTGTAAAATTTTGTAAAAACGCTACGGGAAAAAACTGTTAATAGGTTAACAGTAAGTTCCCGTACTATATACAGGGAAAAACTGTAAAATATCTAACCAGAGATTTCATGTAATTTTACAGTAAAATGCTGTTCATTTTACAGTTTTTAGAAGTAAAAATAACAGATCGATGTATAATTTACAGTCAAAAACTGTAAACTGATATTCCCAGAATGCCCTGCGTGACACTCCACATTTGAAAGTATTTTGTTTAAATAATCATGTTTTTTAAAAAGTTTTTGTTATTAGTTATGTATATTTGGGCTTTATGTTACATCTTCTATTGTTTAATGCATTATTTAAGTATCATGTGTGTTACCATGATGGTGTTTTGTGTTTGCATGAATGACTCTTGCACCTTCTATATAAAAAAAAAAGTGAATTATATTACTTATTAATCGTCAAAATAATGACTGCTGTTGAATTACACATTTACATGATAATCTGCATAGGTATCTGTCTTTTTTTGTAATATAGAACAATTTGCATCTGTTCTGTCCCATAATGCTAATCTTTCTCTTTCCAGGTGCTGGTAGTGATACTGCAACCTCTCAATCTCGGGCTAAAATAGCAGCTGCCGCCCGACAGAGAGACACCAGCCACAATGAGCTGTACTACGAGGAAGCAGAGCATGATAGAAGAGTCCGAAAGCGCAGAGCACGGTAAGAGAAACTATAGAGGGACAGAGTTTGTGAAACAAGAAGTATGTGATATACAGAGCATGCAATTAATGAAACTATGAAAGAATAGAGTTGTGGTTTCAATGAAAACTGCTGCAGCTTAATATGCAACTTTTCTCCTTCTAGGCTGGTGGTGGCAGTAGAGGAGGCGTTCACACACGTTAGACGGCTGCAGGAGGAGGATAAAAAGAAGCTGCCAGGAGATGAGATGGATCCACGTGAGGCAGCGCAGGCCATCTTCCCCTCCATGGCTCAAGCACTGCAGAAATACCTGCGCACCACCCGTCAGCAGCACTGCCACAGCATGGACAGTATTCAGGCCCATCTGGCATTCTGCATTACAAACAACATGACTCCAAAGGTGAGACACTGTGTGGCATGAATCTAAACATCTCTTAATTGACACTATCAAAAATGTCCTCAAATATATATGATTCAAGTTCCCATAACAGGAGTGACACTAAAATTATTAGGTTTAAAGTTAAATATTCGAATTGTATATACAATTTACATCCATTTGGATTACAGTAGAGTTTTAATATAAACTAATAAACGACATACGATGCATATTTGTCAGTCATACATAAATGAAACGGGTAAAAACTGATTTCTGTACTAGTACTAATAAACTGAATTTGTTTTAAATACATAATAACCAGGTTTATATATTTAGCATCAATAAATCCTATTGGTTTCAATCCCATACTCATAACTAATCAAATATTGCTAGCAATAGTTTAACCATGTGAATAATGATTTACACTGATTCTAAGCCATTTGAATAATGCGTTTAATATCATTATTTAAATCAAATCAAATCGATGAAAATAGTTAATATGCAATGATTTTGCAGAAATCTTACCTGTTTCTTAAACATTTCATGTATTTATGACTGACGGATATGAGGAATAACATTTGAAATTAAATTTAATTATATTTTATGAGAGCAGCTGTATGCATATAACTAAGCTGCTGACTGTTTATTTTCAGCATGACACCCATTTTAACTTTAAAATTCACTACTACACTGTAAAAAATAAGTGTCATTTTAACTGTAAAATTTTGTAAAAACGCTACGGGAAAAAACTGTTAATAGGTTAACAGTAAGTTCCCGTACTATATACAGGGAAAAACTGTAAAATATCTAACCAGAGATTTCATGTAATTTTACAGTAAAATGCTGTTCATTTTACAGTTTTTAGAAGTAAAAATAACAGATCGATGTATAATTTACAGTCAAAAACTGTAAACTGATATTCCCAGAATGCCCTGCGTGACACTCCACATTTGAAAGTATTTTGTTTAAATAATCATGTTTTTTAAAAAGTTTTTGTTATTAGTTATGTATATTTGGGCTTTATGTTACATCTTCTATTGTTTAATGCATTATTTAAGTATCATGTGTGTTACCATGATGGTGTTTTGTGTTTGCATGAATGACTCTTGCACCTTCTATATATTAGTATATACTTCCGCTTGTGGCGAAGCTACTTGTGATTAGCTTTGATTTTACCACCTGCATTATTATGGTGGTTGTCAGTATGTTAAAGGTACAAAACAGATTTTAATAGCAGTGTGCGTTGTTGAATTTACTGGTTTACATTCAAATTTTCTTGTTTGTAAATTACAGTTTTATACTGTAAAATGTACAGTTTTTGGCCGTAAATGTGTTTACAGTTTTTCTGTATTTTTTTACAAAATTATTCTGGCAACCACAGCTGCCAACATTTTTTTGTAAAAACTACAGAATTTTTTTTACAGTGTATGTTTGTCAGGAATTTACAATTAAAAGTATTTTGATTTATTCTCCTTGTTAATTAACATACAGTTTCTGAATAATATTTTTACATACTTAAAATTCATAGTATTTATTTTATTCATCATATTTCCTATTTGTGTGTATACACTCAATGGAAATTGAATTGATTTCCACTTTCCACAATTTCTCCAGTAAATGTTTAAAACATCAACTGCAGCAAGTTAAAATTGATGCACTCAGAAGAGAATTGACAATCGTATTCAGTTGCTGTGTGTGTGAGTGCCCTGATAGAACTTTAAGCTTACAAAATCTAACAGTCAGTGATGACGTTATACAGTGCTGCAGCCATGAACATCAAAACCCAGAAGTCTAATTCACCATGGGTCCCCTCGAGATTTTCCTATGGGTTTTTATAATTGGGTTTTCAATTCATGAGTGAAGAAGGTTGTAAATATAAATTGACGACAATTAGCTATTTGAAAGTAAATGATACACACCCATACTTAAAATGCTTTAAAATGTTTAAGCATATGTTTGCATGCGGAACTGTGATTGGTCTTTTGTTTCTTATATCAACTGATCTATCTGCACTACACATTACTATTGTTTCTGTCTGCAATAGCCCTACTGTGTTGTAACAAGGTGTGGTATATGGGCAACTCTGGTAACGCTGCCCTCTCATTCATTGATCTGCTAACCACTATGTTATGCTCACGTGTTCTGATAATAATAGCTTTCTAGGACTAAACATTATTTGGATAATTGGTAAAAAAAAACATTATTAAATATCTTAACCCTACTGTTAGACCTACCTACCTGTCAAAAATGCAACGTTTAAACCTTTTTGCTTTCCTAACAGCAAACAGAGCGCAATGGAGTGCAACAGAGCCGTGCAAGAATCTTGGATTAATTTCTATTTTTTGGGCAGGATTTGTCCTCCTCAATGTTTAGAACTTTTCAGTCAACCTTGTTTTTAGCTATATAGAGAAGTGTCTTGTTATTTGCTTAGAAGTTAATGTCTTTAGCTGATATTTTTACCTTGCTAATAAAAAGGGTTTCTTTCTTCTTCTTCCCCTTCTTCTACTTCCTCCTCCTCTTCTTCTTCCCCTTCTTCTTCCTCTTCTTCTTCCCATTCTTCCTCTTCTTCTTCTTCTTCCACTTCTTCTTCTACTTCTCCTTCTTCTTCTGCTTCTTCCTCTTCTTCTTCTTCTTCTTCTTCTCCTCCTTCTTCCTCTTCTTCTTCTACTTCTCCTTCTTCTTCCAAATAATATAAAACATTTTTTATTAAAAATTGAAAATATTAAAATGGCCTGTTTTTGCTGCAGTAGTCTACATATTGCTGCCTTCAAGTGTACGCATGCCAACCAGTAAACATGCCAACCTTCATAACTTTCTGATGTCCATTTTTATCAATGGAAATTAGAGGAAGGAAGGCCGTAATACTAATGTTGTCCACCAGAGGGAGGCACAAGACAACAAATTATTTTGTAAATGGTTCACCAGATTAATTATGCATAACATTCATTATAGTTTCATAAAGTTTAATAAAGGCTAAACAAAGTCTAATTACAGATAAATAATACCTTCATATTTATATATCCTAAATACAGAAAACATTTGTCAAGTTGTCAGACATGACTGCATATATTGCAGTCCAGTTAAATGAAGAGGCAATATTATTTGTCTGTTGTGGTATGGTACATAAAATAATACTTCCATAGAAAGACACTTAAATAGGCCTACTCGTATTACATTTGAAAAGAGACATGGCCATTGTAACATAACTGTATCCTTTACATGAGGTGTTTCCCAGCGGGCACCTTGATTTCAATTTGACGTCAAATATTAGACAGTGATGTCGGTGCCAATAGCCTTGTGGGCAGCATGCCTTCATAAAACACCATTGAGTTATGGGCGTCCTGTCTACATTAAACAATATCCTCTCTCACTTCCTGTTGTTACTCTGTCCTATTTAAATAACGTCAAAAACTAATATTTTTAATAAATAAATATAAGTCATTGATGACAATGCAGGAACATCATTTTAAATTCAGTTTGGACAGCAATTTGTTGGTAATTAGGTGAAAATAGGAAGTTAATCCCACACTGGAATTGGTTTAATGTAAATGTGGGCCAATATGTTTGACGTTCAATTTACATCAAATCAACATCATTTCAAGTTTTTGACATTAGTTGGATTTGCGTATTTGACCTGTTTTTTTTATGTCAATTTTGATGTGTTTTCAACATCAATTGCCCAATGGGCCATGCTTGGACCCCGATGAACGCCGCTTGCGGCTATATTTTAAAATGCAATTTAGTCTAATTACAAGTACTTAATTTTTAGAATCTGATAAAGTAATCCAGATTATGTAATCAGTTACTACTCTGGAATAATGTCACCTTATCAACCCAGAACTCTGTGACTGTTCTTGAATGGCCCAGCCAGAGCCCTGACTTAAACCCAATTGAGCCTCTCTGGAGAGACCTAAAAATGGCTGTCCACCAACGTTTACCATCCAACCTGACAGAACTGGAGAGGATCTGCAAGGAGGAATGGCAGAGGATCCCCAAATCCAGGTGTGAAAATCTTGTTGCATCTTTCCCAAAAAGACTCATGGCTGTATTAGATCAAAAGGGTGCTTCTACTAAATACTGGGCAAAGGGTCTGAATACTTAGGACCATGTGATTATTTCAGTTTTTCTTTTTTAATAAATCTGCAAAAAGTCAACAATTCTGTGTTCTGTCAATATGGGGTGCTGTGTACATTAATGAGGAAAAAAAATTAACTTAAATGATTTTAGCAAATGGCTGCAATATAACAGAGTGAAAAATTTAAGGGGGTCTGAATACTTTCCGTACCCACTGTATGTTGGTGGAGGGTTTAAGTATCACAAAAGACATCACAATGTCCCTGAGCTGATAAGACTTTTCACTCAGATTGTCATGCTGATCCCTCTTTTCCAGATAAGTCAGGAGCATATTAATTTAGTGGCATAGTCTTTGAAAATAGTTTGAGAGAATCTGAAATGATTTCATTTCAACTGAGCTGGTTTTATTTGCATTTATAATTGAGTTGTTTCTTCACTTTGAGTGGTTTTACTGCAAAGTAACTAAGTTTGCAAGAAAATGTAAATTCCCACTGTATATTTTGTGAATTCATCCATGAATATTTTTTTTTTTTCTTTTTTTGTCGTAATGTTCAATCTAAACTCGATCTTCTGGTGAAGGTGACAAATTTCACCCTGCATGGAGACATATGCCAGACTTCTCTGTCTCTAATATTTTAGTCTGCTTAACCTGCCCCTCGAACAATTGACTGCAAGCTCACATCTCAAAATCTAATGAACAGCCAATGATTAGAACCAAGTCCTCACCCTGCATTCTTGCTGGTATTTGATCATTTCATTGCTCTTCGCAATCAGACCCAACAAAACCGCGTCAGCAGTAGTGCTGGGCGATATACCAGTTCAAACGGTAAGCCGGTTTGAATTACACAAATGGTATGAATTTTGACATTTGTGGCTACGAATTGTAGACAGCGTTGTGGATTGAGATGAGATCTCTGCATACACTTCTAACTAATGGTTAGAGAACTTCTAGAACTATAACACACAACTTATTATTTAACTGGGCAAATAAACCAACTGTAGCCATTAACAGGGGCCAGAAACACTGAAGATGAAAGCAAAGAGGAGAAAGTACTGTAGCAGGCAGAGCAAACTCACTGTTCATTATGCATTGTAAGTCGCTTTGAATAAAAGTGTCTGCTAAATGAATAAATGTAAATTTAAATGTAAATAATTACTGCCCAAGGCATTCGCAAAAAGGCCTGATTGAGATGCATTAGTGGTTAGTAGTGTGTTGTAGCCATGTTCAAGATACTTTGTCGGTCTTTCTTGCTACATGAAACCATTAGAAAAGAAAGCACTGGATATTTCTAAAGTTTATATATAAAAAAAAAGGACTATAATTTATAATTTGCGCTAATTCATTTTTTTTTCTCCGTGTCCTTAAAATCTACTTACAGTAAATATTTAGTTAACATAATATTGTATTTCTAGACAGGCTCATCTTACCCCAAGTTCCCATATTTGCATTTTATTTTATATTTACACAAGTCAGAGATCAAACAATCATTTCCAGTATCATCCTCGTGACTTATACACACTTGACTTCAAGTAAAGTATAAAAGCAGGGCTGTTAGAATTAAGAATTTGGAGATCAAGTATTTCAAAAAGATCTGTTCTGGTTGAGCGATGTAGCACAGAAAAGAGACAGGTATACCCTGGAGCCAAGAATGACACAGACACAAGGAGTGCAGTTCAATCATGGCACACAGGTTTTGATGTACAATATATATGGATAATATAGGAAGTGAAACTGTCAGCTCAGTTGTTTTGCTCAGCATAAGCAAAACAACATGTCTTATGACTATTATGCAATGGTCACATCCTTAGGAGGTACAGAGAAGAGCACAGGATGTTCTAGAATCTTACAATGGCCACTTTAAGACAAAATGTCTTACCCATTGAACATCCATGTGCATTTATACAAAAATAAAAACTGATTAATATTGTCTTGTTAGTCAAAATATATTTTCTTATATATCAAACTAAGAGGAGATCTGGTTAATAAGGATTACACTTATATTTCTGATTCCATATGTTCGTCAGGTTCCAACTGATAAGTACTGTATGAGCATAATCATCATAAGTATTATTAGTATCTGTATCTGACACACGCTCATGAACACACGATTGAACAACAGTCGGCGCAAATGTCCGCATGTTTTGTATGTTCAGCATCCCATGGTAAGTTTCTCTTGATGTGATGGCTGAAATGGAACTCATAATAGAACTACTAATACATTGCATTAGGCATGGTGCTATCAGCAGTAAAATCAACATTAGTACAATAATAGGTACGGCGGAGTTGAAAATCCAGGTTCACCATCCTCCCTAAAGACGACTGAGCAAGCCAAACCAGGAATCATCCCTCTTTGGCTCCGGGATGGATTCCTTCATGTGGTTTACAATGTTCGTGATGTTGTCTGAATTATCTGGAATGTAAAAACGACAAGACATACCCAACATTTTACAACATTTTATAAGTGGGTCAGGCTTGGGTGGGATAGGCTGTGGTTCACTGGGTTCCTCCCATGTAGGCAAGGGGCCAGTGTTAATTTCGTTGACAAATAATTATCGTCAACGACATTCTTTTCATCGACGACAATGAACTAAAACTCTTTTTGAATGACAAAAACTATGACGTAAATCTATTGACATTTTCGTCAACGAATAAAAACGAGATGAAAATATTAGGGAGGGACGATTTGGGAAGAGATTCATTCAGAACGAATCTGATGCGTGGTTCAGAGGTTAGATGCATACGAACCGGCGGGACATAGGCTAACACACTTGGTTGCTGCACGTCGCATAAAACGTTCAAAAATGTCAATATGTGGGAGTAAGAGAAGAGCAGACACATGGATAAATCTGACGACGCAAGAGAGAACTCAATTCGGTCTGGTTTTCTGAGTGCAGACACCGAAAAAATAGGCTACACACAGAATGACAGCGACAGAACAAAAACATAGATAATAAAAGAAGAATAAAAAAATTAAAAATAGAACAAGTAAATAACGAATAACAATATATATTTTGACAATTGTATGTGCAGGTATAGACCTATTACAATAGACAGTTTTGTATGTACAGGTATATTATGTGCAAATTTGAGGTGTAGACTAAGTATGTGTGTTAGATAAATAAGTGTATGAGTGTATAAATAGTGTTGTGTGTTCCACAGTTATTGTCAAGTGTTCATGAAATGGATTGCCTGAGGGAAGAAACTGTTCCTGTGTCTGGCTGTTCTGGTTCTCAGTGCTCTGTAGCGTCGACCAGATGGCAACAGTTCAAAGAGGGAGTGTGCTGGATGTGATTTCCTACAGGTCAAAAGTTATTACTACTTCTATGAGTCCGTTTTTCAGCGCGAGAGTGCCCTCCAGCTTCGAGTATGAATGAAACAGACACAGCAGGAGAGTGTTGAGCGCTCCGTAATGTTCACATCGATTTGGATACGAATAAAACGTATCCAAAACGATGTGACTCTCTTGTCTCTTTTAATTTAAATCTAGATTTAGTCACACTGACCCTTGAAAACGTCTACGTGAACACACTTGCCCGAAGTGCAGGGGAAGAGTTTAGGTTTTATTAAAATTCAGGGGAACACGTCTCCCACGTATTCTATGCCCATGCTACAGGGAGCCACCGCAGAGGGGTGAAAGAGCAGCATGCATCTCGGGAGCTGCGGCTGCCGACCCCTGGTCTAGAGGTACTGTACAATATACACTACCGGTCAAAAGTTTGGGATCAGAACAATTTTTTATGTTTTTTACAGGAGTTTCTTATGCTAATCAAGGCTGCATTTATTTGATAAAAAATACAGGAAAAATTTTAATATTGTGAAATATTATTGTGATGTAAAATAAACTTTTTCTATTTTAATATACATTAAAATCTCATTTATTCCTGTGATGCAAAGCTGAATTTTTTGCATCATTACTCCAGTCTTCAGTGTCACATGATCCTTCAGAAATCATTCTAATATGCTGATTTATTATCAGTGCTGGAAACTGTTGTGCTGCTTAATATTTTTTTGGAACCTGTGATACTTTTTTTTCAGGATCCTTTGATGAATAAAAAGTTAAAAAGAAGAGCATTTATTTAAAATAGAAATCTTTTGTAACAATATACACTACAGTTCAAAAGTTTGGGGTCAGTTCATTTTTATTTGTTCTTTTTTTTAAATAAATTAAAACTTTTATTCAGCAAGGATGTGTTAAATTGTTAAGAAGTGATAGCAAAGATTTATATTGTTAGAAAAGATGTATATTTTTAATAAATGCTGTTCTTTTTAACTTTTTATTCATCAAAGAATCCTGAAAAAAGAATCGCAGTTTCCAATAAAAAATAAAAAATTTGGCAGCACAACTGTTGCCAACACTGATAATTCTAATAATAAATCAGCATATTAGAATGATTTCTTAAGGATGTGACACTTTATACTGGAATAATTCAGCTTTGCATCACAAAAAAAAAATATTTTAAAGGATATTAAAATAGAAAACTTTGTTATATTGTAATTAATATTTTGCAAGAATACTGTGTTTTTCTGTATTTTTGATCAAATAAATGCAGCCTTGATGAGCATAAGAGACTTCTTTAAAAAACATTACAAGTCTTACTGATCCCAAAAGTTTGACCGGTCGTGTATATGGATAATATAGGAAGTGAAACTTTCAGCTTAGCATTAGTAGAGGAAAAAGGGAGATAGATGCTAAGCAAAACAACATGTCTTATGACCATGACGCAATGGTCACATCCTTTAGGAAGAATCTTACAGGCTCTTTCTGGAGCTTCACAAAATCTTCCTCTGAGATTCTGAAGGCAACAATCTGAAAACCAAGGTGAGTCTTGGCACAGAGACCTACTGAATAACCTTTTGACTTAAAGTATATTTGTCTTTAAAATACATTGACAATCCACAATGTGCAGTATAATACATACTTTTAATTTTAAATGTTTAACTTTTATTTTTCAGTTTCATCATGGCAATGCTGAGAAGTTTTCTGCTTCTTTTCATTGTGTTCTCCATGGGAAATGCAGAAGGTAACAAATATATTTATTTGTAAAAACTCCTCGTGAATTAATTTTAAAAGCTTTTCTGCCAAACCTTTGATGTTTTGTAGCTTTATGGAGAAGGATAGTAGGAAATGTATGATATTCAACCAACTAATATTTATCATAATATTATTATAATATTTCTTATGTTTATTTACTGGATAGTTAATTTAGTTAAAAAATGCCCCTATGGATGGACAAATTTTGGAGTCCGATGCTACAAGTTCTTCTCTCAGGCGGTCAACTGGATCACAGCAGAGGTAAATTGTTAGTCACAAGGTGATTTTTATTATTTTTTTTAAATAAAACTTCCTTTTTGTAAATAAATTTGACAGAAAACTAATACTGAGGAAATAATCAGTCAGACCTGACTTTGTTTGAAAATGACTCAAAATGTTGTTTGAAAATGCTTTATGCTAAAAAATAAAAAAACTGTATTTTGTATTGACAATAAAAAATCTGTCTTTAGAAGAACTGCCAAAGTCTGGATGCAAATCTCGCATCTGTACATAGTAAAATAGAACACGATTTTCTGCTGAGTCTGTTGCCTTCTTCTTCCACACGTTGTTGGTTTGGTACTCATGATGGTGAACAAGTAAGTTAAGTTGTGTGACCTTTTTTGTTTTGCATTGTCTAGTTTGTTTTTCGTGACTGAAATCTTCAAAGTTTGTAATGAAGATGGTTTGACTTCTTCAAAGCCAAACTAAATGACCTTCTAAATGGAGTCTGAGTACAGCAGAGCACTCTTATAATAACTGTCTTTGCTCTTTAGGAAGGACAGTGGTTGTGGACTGATGGAACTCCGTATGACTACACCTACTGGGCCCCAGGACAACCTGACAACAAGGGAGAACCGATAACCGAGAACTGTGGGGAGTTGAACTTCGAAAGTAAGAATGCAGTGTGGTTTTTTATTTACAATAATTATTTGCAATCATATAATTTCACATTAACCAGTAACATGAAATGGTTGATTTGTCAAACATGTCTTAAACATTCTATTTTATTTTGATTGTAACATGACAATAATGATGAGAATGACATATTTCATTTTTTCACCCCATAGATAAGGGTTGGAACGATGGATCCTGTTTATCCCCACAGGGATATATTTGTGCTAAATACCTGTGAGATCACATGCAGTCATCCTACTCCACAGTTACTTTGATTGTACTACATTTACATGTTCTGATCTTATCTTTACAAGTGTTATTCTGAAATTAAACTTTTCTTAAATATTTTCTCAACTTTAATCTCTTCTCAATACTGAAACACTCCTCAAACCAATAAAGGTATTTAAAAAACAATTGTCTTGCAAGGATTTAATATATAGTTGTTAGAATGGCTGTATAGGCTTTAAGTGATGTCATCATCAGGGGAGGGGCTTACAAAGATGCTGGTACCCCATGACTAGAAGACAAAAATCTAAGGGTGTCTATCAGTATACTCTTTACAAAAAAGCACAGTGGGTTCTATACACCCTAGGGTTCTTTACTCACTTTTAAAGAACCTTTTATGCCAAAAAGGTTCTATGTAAGGAAAAATTATTAAATGATTGCATACTTATATGTTAATATATATAAATAGCTAGTAGGTTACACACCTACGTATGTATACATTTATTTATTAATGTATGTAGTTTACAGTCATTTTGTGTACATCTCTGCATGGGCATTGCGTTGTATTACTGTAATCACCATAATGTCCACTGTGATATAAAAATAAAAAATTATTTTGGGAGCCCAAACTTTCTGACCCAAGTATGAATTTAATTTGTCACATGCCGATTGTCAGTTTTACGGCCAATGGTCATTTGATGGTATGTAAATTCCTTTGTAGTTGTCAGGGTTCGGGTAGAGGATGGAGCGAGGACTCAGTACTGCAGAGAATGGGCTTTTATTGATAATAAAAATAAACAAAACAGCAACAAAAACTACCCCGTGGGGGAAAAACAGGCTGGCAAGGCAAGGCAAGGCAAGATATGGACACGACATGACACATCCAGGGAGAGATGACGACAAACCGACCCAGGACTGCAAACACAAGGAGAATAAATGGAGAGCAAATGAGGAGGGTAACGAGGGACCACATGTGGGGCAAATTAACTAATAATCAGGTAACAAGATGGGAGGGGTCAAGACAATTGACATGAGCACATGGCACACCGAATCAAAGACAAAAAGCCATGTGCTCACACAAAACAAAACACAAGCACATGGTCAGCAAAACAAATCACAAGCCATGTGCTAGAACAAAAGACACGAACACAGCTAATGAGAAAACTCATAAGCCTCGTGTTCACACAAGACAGCAAGAAAAGCATGCGGCTGAACACAAACGGCGTGCTACACAAAACACAACACACGTGGACAGAAGAGCGCACGGCCGAGCGAACTCGAGACCGCACGCTCCCACAACAGACAGAACATGGAGCGCGAGTGTCCGGACCCCGACACGAAACCGAAACTCAAGACATGAGTGCCGGGATCTGAACACCACGCTCCAACATGAAACAGTACACGCAGACGAGAGCGCACGGCTCGAGCACACTCGAAGCCGCACGCTCACATGAAAACAATGACATGACGCGAGTGTCAGGGCTCTGTCACAAAACTATGAATTACACTAGACCGAAGTGACAGAACCTTGACAGTAGTTTGCAGTTAGTTTCTGTTGTAAATATGTTGATCCTGTCATAGTTTCATCTTTGTTATAAATAGCTGACAAACAGGCTAGCTAACAATTCTATAAAACACATGTTACATATTATCAGTAAGTGAAGAGAAATGCTATTATTTTTAGAAAGCTGTCTGAAGGATCCATTGTTGACATCCTGTCAAGGAAAACCTTGATTGATTTGACCACCTTTTTTTCAGCAGTCCAGCTATACATAAAATGTTTCCAGCTACACTATTTGTTAAAGTGACTCAGGGGACTTATACGTTTGCTTTCATCAGTGTACTAAATGTAAATTCTGTCATTTAAAGTGTTGTGGGTATGTGTGACAATCATTTAAAGACAGCAAAAGGACAAAACAGATTTTTGTGCTGTAGAAAGGTTTGTCGTTTGTTTCTTCATCATGTCCCCACATAGGATACCATGTCAGTGCTTAATCCAGTTAAAAGCAGGTCTTTTATGTTTCCTTAGGGAAACTGAACAACTAGATAACCTTTAGAACCAATTATAATATTGTGATGTTTCAGAGACCCTAGATGTTACTGCGGTGCCAATCATCTTGAAGATTATAAATACCAGTGCAGAGAGTTGATGTTGAGTTTTAAAACCTAAATTTATCTTACATCTAAACCTATTTCCACCTCAAACTAGTAAATAAATCAACAAAAAGGAATATTTTACAACTGAAACTTCATATATCACAGTTCACAATGTAACCTTCTTTAATTTTTACTTTGAGGCATAAACAGGCTTCCGTGTGATAGGCCAATGACAAGGTCCAGATCAGGCGCGGCTCGACTGTAAGGGCAGAGCCCCACCAAAATATTCACCCAAAACATAGATCTCTATATAAACTGAATAAATAAGAAACTGTAAATATGTTCAGCAAATATGTTATTTCAAACGTGAAATAAGCTATGTAAAATATTATTATTATTATTATTGACTTGAACCGCTTGATTAAGAGAGTCAATATTTTTTACAATTGCATTCCTACACTGTAAAAAAAATAAAGTTTAGTCAACTTGAAATGTTAAGCTGTGCTATATGACAACTTGGATATTTGAGGTAACTACATTCAAAATTTTAAGGTAGCACTAACACCTTTTTTAAGTTGAAACAAAGAGGGTTTTTTTTTAAGTAAAGTTGTCAACACACCTGTCTGGTAGAGTTTGGGTTCCTTGTCATGTTACCTTGCTTATTTTGGGTCTGAAAGACACTTAAAGGGATAGTTCACCCAAAAATTAACATTTGATGTTTATCTGCTTACCCCCAGGGCATCCAAAATGTAGGTGACTTTGTTTCTTCAGTAGAACACAAACAAAGATTTTTAACTCAAACTGTTGCAGTCTGTCAGTCATATAATGGGAATCACGGCTTTGAGAGTAAAAAAAAACATACACAAACAAAACCAAATTAAACCCTGCGGCTCGTGACGATACATTTATGTGTAAAGACACGAAACGATCGGACACTCTATCTACAATCTCAATTAGGAGTGTCTATGGTCCATTTGAGAGATAGGTGGCGGTAATGCACTTATAAGTCCGCGAACGCTCTCAGGACAGTTCAGACATTGCGGTGAATCAGAGGTAAAAAACTATATAAATACTGTTCAGTTTCTTGCACAGACCGATCGTTTCATGTTTTTACACATCAATGTATCGTCACGAGCCACAGGGTTTAATTTGGTTTTGTTTGTGTATGTTTTTTCCCATTCACTTCCATTATATGACTGACAGACTGCAACAGTTTGAGTTAAAAATCTTCGTTTGTGTTCTACTGAAGAAACAAAGTCACCTACATCTTGGATGCCCTGGGGGTAAGCAGATAAACATCAAATTTTCATTTTTGGGTGAACTATCCCTTTAACTTTCAGAAATATGTTATCATGCTCTTGAATCCATTAGTTATTAATTACACCACCACCTGTGCTTGTTAGGCCTGACATCACGTGTCACTTTTTCTGTGTCCAAACGTTCTATCAGATTCCAAAAGCAAACAAGCAAACAAGCAAACAAGAAGTGGTGTTAATATACACAGACGGTGTGCTGTTATACTACTAAAAATCATGATGATGAATTGATAAATAAATGACACAAGCCCTAAGACTGTAATATACACTGTGAGATTTTAAAATCTTAAGGTGTGCTAGAAATGGATAGTGCTGCTCATGAATGACTGCTGAGATAGTATTCTTACCTGAAATTGAATGGAAACTCGGACCTGGGCTGGAAATAGTATTCATTATGTCACAAATTAACATATAAGCAGATATAGATGAACAAAAGTATGGTGGCCGAGAGAGCTCAACGCGCTTCAACTTCAGAAAACACATGCAAATAAAAAAAGCACCAGCAAATCAAGAAAACATCTTCATCAGTTTGACAGCACATGTGGTGGAAATACGCACAACACAAACAAATAAATAATTTTATTTGCAGCGTATTTCTTTATTTTCAGGCTAAGGGCAAGTGGTGCTCTGCCTGAGAATATTTTGCACCTATTATATTTTTCCTCTGCACAACATGCTAATGAGAGGGTGTCAACCATGGACTTGGTCGGGGTCATATCATAGCTGGGGGCGCGGCTTTCAAGCTGACAGGAAATGCATGGTGTAAATCCAGTATGGCCTACATAAAGTCACTTTTTCCATTTAACAGAGCAAGATACATAAAAAACTGAGCTGTAATGTCCGTACAGTATCTGTGACTTTACAAACGACCCTAAGAAATGATGGAGGACGAAACCTGCAAAAACAATAAATAAATAAATACACAAATAAATAAATAAATAAATGTGTGCATAAATACACGTATTCTTGTTTAAATACATAAATAAATAATTAATCAGTGACTGATTATTATCTTACACTTTTTCATATCGTTAGTTTTGTAGTTATAATCATGAGAGAGCTAAATCATAAAAGATTTTAAGTGGCCAATGTAAAATATTAATGCTTACATAGCTCTTAATTGCAATACTGAACCGTTATTTGCTTAATGAACATACTTTTGTCGCCTGTATTTTCTGTTCTGATAACTAATGGGGAAAAATGGTCTGTTCCTCGATTAAACCACTTCATACCAGTTCTCAAGGATGTATATGAGCCTCTGTTTGTACAATAATAAATTGAGAATCAACTGAGATGTACCCTTGTGTATGTCACTAATTTGGTTCTCCCGCCGTAAAGAGAGAGAGATTGCAGATCGACTTGGTTGTAGAAGACTGTTTAATGGCCATAAAAATGATCTTACACGTACCTAAACAATGAGCAGGTAAAACCATCCTACACTCTAAAAAATGCTGGGTTGTTTTAACCCAACTTTGGGTCAAATATGGACTAACCTTTGCGCAGAGGAAATATAAATGTGGAACTACATTCAGAAATAAATGAGTGATCAAAGGACAATAAATAGGATGAGTTTAGCATTTCCTTAAATATTTTCCATTTGGCCACCAATTTATTTTATTTATTTGCCTACTTTAATCACATGTTTTATTATTTTTATATGTATTTAAACAAAACTTTGTGTATTTATACACGCATTTATTTATTTATTTGCATATTTATTTATTTATTTGTGTATTTATTTATTTATTGTTTTTGCAGGCTTCGTCCTCCACAAGAAATGGCCAGTATCGTTTCCTGATGTCATTTTTTGTAACCCGATTGAGTCTCCAGCTAGAGACAGCTGTAATATCAGTATCCCATGGTCATCGTGAGATGACTGGTATGAAGTGGTTTAATCGAGGAACAGACAGTTTTTTCCCATTAGTGATCAGAACAGAATATACAGGCGACAAAAGTATGTTTATTAAGCAAATAACGGTTCAGTATTGCAATTAAGAGCTATGTAAGCATTAATATTTTACTTTGGCCACTTAAAATCTTTTGTGATTTAGCTCTCTCATGATTATAACTACAAAACTAACGATATGAAAAAGTGTAAGATAATAATCAGTCACCTTGACTGATGAAGTTAATACGCATGCGTATAGATCAGGTTGTGGTTTCGGGAAATAGTTATAGCTAGCTAGCTAATTTCCCCAGTGCTTCAGTGGTTAAGCAGCAAGTCATTGTATGTGAATACCTATTTTATATTTGACTTTTTATTTAATTTTGTCAGCACACATGTCATCAGATGAGTGTGAAAATAGCAAAGTAAAAAAAAAAGATCTTGATCTTTCTAGATCAAGCCTGACATTAGAACAAAAGTCTTAAATACCAACTGTTCATAAAAAGCACTGAATGTTTCTAAAAAGATTATATAGAAGAAAATGACTTCTTTGTCTCCTTGTCCTTCAAATGATCTTAGAGGGAGAAATTTTTCTTATATTTAACTTAACTATATTAATTTCAAATACTTATTAAAAATAAATATTTAGTTAAGCTGATATTGTATTTTTAGACAGGTTCATCTTAACCCATTCTCTCACATTTGAATTTGATTGTATGTGTACAAAAGTCCACAGATTAAACAATCACATCCTGTGTCATCCTCATGACTTAGGCAGAGTTGACACTGAGTAAAGTATAAAAGCAGGGCTCTTTCTGGAACTTCACAAAATCTTGCTCTGAGATTCTGAAAGCAACAAGCTGAAAACCAAGGTGAGTTTTAGCACAGAAACCTACTGAACAACTTAATGTCTTTAAAATACATTGAGAATACAGTGTGTGCAGAATATGAATGCAGACAATTGACTTTTGCTGCTTATTAATTTTCAGGTTCATCATGACAATGCTAAGAAGTCTGCTGCTTCTTTTCATTGTGTTCTCCATGGGGAATGCAGATGGTAACCAAGACATTTATTTGTATAAACCCTCTCTTTATGCCATTTTAAAAGGTTGTTCTGCTAAACCTTTGGCATTTTGTAACTTTATGGAGAAGATTAGCAGGAACTATACAGTATTCTATTGACCAGTATTTGCATAATACAAGAAATTATGTTAATATTACAAGACTAACATTTATGTACTGGATGCAGTTGATATCGTTGTAAAATGCCCCTATGGATGGACAAACTTTGGAGTCCAATGCTACAAGTTCTTCTCTCAGTCGGTTAACTGGATCACAGCAGAGATAAAGTGTTAGTTATAACAAGGTGTTTTTATTATTTTTAAAGAAAAACTTTTACCTTTTCCTTTTTAGAAAACTAATACTGAGCAAATAATTATTCAGAGCATATTTTGTTTGAAAATGACTTAAACTGTTGTTTAAAAAGTAATTTACATTTTTGCAGTAATTTATATTCATGTTTTTTATTTATAATAAAAAAAATGTTTCTCTTTAGAGAAACTGTCTAGGTCTGGATGCAAATCTCGCATCTGTGCACAATAAACTAGAAAATGATCTTCTGCTGAGTCTGTTGCCTTCTTCTTCCACACTTTGTTGGCTTGGTGTTCATGATGGTGAACAAGTAAGTTAAGTTGTGTGGCCTAAAGAGACTTATTTGTTTGTTGAGACAGAAGTGAAGATGGTTTAACTTCTTCAAAGCCTAACTAAATGACATTCTATATGGAGTCTGAGTACAGAAGAGCACTCCTATAATCACTGTCTTTGCATTTTAGGAAGGACAGTGAATGTGGAGTGATGGAACTCCACATGACTACACCTACTGGTGCTCTTATGAGCCTAACAACCGAAATGTCGAGAACTGTGGAGAGGTCAACTTCTCCGGTAAGAATGCAGTGCATTTTTATTTATTTTTTTAATATTTACCATCCTAAAATTTCACAACAAATAGTAACATAGATTGGCTCATTTTCTAACACCACTATAATGATCAGAATAACTTGCTTCATTTTCCACCCTACAGCTAACCGTTGCTGGAATGATATAGCCTGTTCAACCTCAATGGGCTATATTTGT